TAAAATAGTGAGTGGACAGGCTTAAAGCCTAAAATATTCTTGCAATATTCTATTCATGGCAGTACTGTGTTACCTGCTACCACACATACCACAATGAATATAGAGATAACCAGATATTACAGGCTATCTTCCTATGGCATAACATGTCTTACCATATGAAATCCTAGCCTAAATTTAAACGGACCATAAAAAACTGAGGGGGAAGGATATTATCTCCAAATACTTAAGAATTTGTATTTCCTCCTTCACTTTACCACTAACAAGGATTTTATAGAATTCTTTTCAATTTTTCGACTTGTATTAAAGGAAATACATACATGACTGACTATTCCTGCTAAAAACACTGTAGAGCTTCATCAAACAGCTGTCACCACCATGAAAGGCCCATCTTTCTATAAGCCAATCAGCACCTTCTTACCAAAATCCAGCACAGACACAATTTCAAAGGGGATCCTAAATTTCAAAGCAACTGAGAAGTCATGCATTCTATTTCTTCCCATCCCATCAGGAAAAAAAAACCTCAACAACCCAAAACACACTTGGGGATGTTTCCACTTTAGGTTGTTTCTTCAGCTATGCTTTAATGTCAATGAGACATATTTAAAAAAAAAAAAATTTAGTTTCCTTGCAAGCCTTTCACAACAGAAAAGTTTCTTATAAAATAATAATTATGTATGCATATAAGTATATACATAGTTTTAGGTTGGTAAAATGTCATCTATATACTTTGAGCATGTTATCAGGAGGTGCTTGTCCTTGGAAAAAACCATCATATTTGGAAAAGTGGAAGGTCTGCAAAAAAAAGTGAGAGCCTCAATGAGATAGACTGACTCAGTGACTGCAACCATGGTCTTGGGCAAAGAACGTGGGGATGGCGCTAGACAGTTTTTTGATGAACACAGGGCCACTTTGAGTCACAGCAAATGTGACAGCACCTAACAATAACAATCAGCTTTAGATATCAATTTTACCATTCCATTCATTTAATAAATACTGGCTGAATGTTTATTTTAAGAGCTACAGATACATCAGTAAACAAAACAGCCAATATTCATGCTCTCATAAAGTGTATGGTCTAGGGAGGCAGAGACCACAAACACAATAAATACATACAGGTAGTCCCTGACTTAACATTCATACTTACTCTGGGGTTTTGTTTTTGTTTTGGGTTTTGTTGTTGTTGTTTTTTCTATTTTTGTTGTTGGAGGGTTTTGGTTTGTTTGGTTTTTTTATGGGGTGGGGTTTTTTATATCTTATCTTTAGGTTCATGTGCTGTATATAAAGTACTGTGCATAATTCACTGATGTTTTCATGCTCAACTGCTTACTTACAAATGTTCAAAGAGCAGATGTAGAACTCAAAATTCACTGCCATAAAGTGAAAACCACTCATGGCTAATTCTCTAGTGGATTTCCGAGGCTATAAATCACACATGGGCACAGGTTTCTTGCACCCACATCCTTCTCCTACAGAGCCACCATCAGAAGAGTGGCTAGTAGCACAACTCCTGTAGAGGAGGCCCTGAAATTTATAATAAAGACACTGATAATCCATAACAATAATAACATTAACTTTAGAAAAGAGGGATTAATGTAACATTTAGAACTGATTTAGAATGGAGTTCTCCAAACAGAACTCCAGGTAAATCAGGGACGACATATAAATTTGCATCTCACACACTGTCAAATGTTAAGAAGAATAATAAAGTAGTGGGGACAAAGGGACCGAGCGTGCAGGGAAGGGAAGTGCTGCTTCACCTCTGGTAGTTAGACAGTCTCTCTGATAAAGTGAAATCTGAAGAAAGAGGGAGGGACGAGGGAAGCAAATTTTGGAGGGAGGTTCGGATAGTGATGACAATATGTGAAAATGCCCCAAAGTAGTCAATTTTTTGGGGAAGTCTTACCTCTTGAATCCCAAGCATTATGTCCTTTTCTAGGGACTTATTAACTAGTTATAGAGCTTTGGTGGCTTAGTGGTAAGAAATTGCAATATCAACCCAAAGGCACATGATTTGAATCTATCAGCTTCTCTGAGGTAGAAAGAAGGACAGGCTCTTCCTGTGCAATTTATAGCATCTGAAAACCCACTGAAGGGCCAGCTATGAGTAGGGTCTGACTTGAGGATGTATAATAGCAGCAGCAACAAATTCTTGATCAGTATTAAAACCAAATATCTCAAACCCAAGGACAAAGAACTAACAACTCCTAGGGTTTTAATCTCTGTAAATCTTTACGTGAGCAGTCTGCCTCATCATTCTCGCAAGAAGTAGCTCATGAGTTTGAACAGGTGACCTTTCATTTTGCAGGTCACAATGCCTAAACTACAAGAGCACCGGGGTTTCATATTCTGTGTTATTCCTACTCAACTTCTAGGGTTAATGTAAAAATATTACATGTACTGTCCACTTCTGAAATGGCTTGCCTCTGGAAAGTCTATGTACAAACAGTGCTCAGGCCTTTCGTTCATAGGGTCGCTATGAGTCATCTACGACTCGACGGCACCTAACGACAACAACAACAACGATGACACAGAGAGAGCTCTGTTGGCCTAGTGGACAGAAAGTTATGCTACCAAGCCAAAGGTGGGTGATTTTAATCTGCGGCCCTCGGGCCAGGTTCATATTGTTTTCCTGTCAGACATTCTTCTAGGTGGTATAGCACTGATCTGTGCATTGCTGTACAGAGGTAACTCGTGGTTGCTGTGATGCTGAACACTGTGACACTGATGTGCCAAATGTGGTAATGGTTACTACCCATGGTGGAGAGTGTTTGCTGGAGCTTCCCGCCTGGAAGCAGGGGCAGCATCCAATTCGGAAATGGCTTGCCTCCGGAAACTCTATGTATGAACAGTGCTCAGGCCTTTTGTTCATACGGTCGCTATGAGTTGTCTACGACTCGACAGCACCTAACAACAACAACAACTGTCTCATTGGGGATACTTTCTCAGGTAGTTTAGTACAAGTTCTCGTGCTAAAAATAATTAAGAAATAAAGGTGCTATGACTTGCAAAAGAGACTAAACTACCAGCACTGGGATTTTACATCATGTCCTTCGATGAGCGAGTGGAATTGAAGACAAGTATGCCTGAACTTCAAGGGCTGTACAAACTGAATGAACAACTGCAGAAGGGGTTTCCAAATTCTCCCTTATACATATCATCCAAAACCATGTAATCAACATGCTTCTGGTCTCTAAATGTATCTCCAGCACACATTTAGATTCTTCTCTTCTGAACCCTGCTTATCCAACACCTCCACTTGAATGGCTTGATGACACACCATTGGTGTTTCTCTTCTCTACTGTGCTGCAAAATTCCCTGAGCCCACGTAGCTTTTATGTAACATTCAGATTGCAGCTTAGAGGTCTCTTTCTTGGGGACTCTTTCCCTAGCATCAAGATCAGATGAAGTTTCCCAGTTACACATCTTGCAACTCCCATTCCCAACCTTCATGCCACTTAATGTGTTCATAATTATACATTATCGGCATAAGTATGCCCCCATGATATTCTTGAGCCCCTTACAGAAGATATATATATATCTCTTCTGTTCACTGCTGCCTGTCTACATTGCCCAGATCCAAATCCACGTGTGGTACACAAAGAACACTCAAAAGACATTTGGTGAACAAATGAATGAATGTGGCGCTGATGTGCAGACATGAAGTAAAAAGGTCACTGCTGGAACACAGTCTCTATATTACATTACAGCTGGGAAGGAGGAGTGGGAGTGGAGAGATACCAGCTCTAATATCAAGAACTGAGTGAAAGTAAAGACAAGCTGATTAAAGGTTTTCTTGTATTTGCTTTTTGTTTTATTTAGCTTGTCAAGCATCCGTATTGTTCAGTATCTCTAGAACCACTACAAACACTAATGGAATAAATCAATAACCCTAAATTACAAAGAGTGGAAGTGAGATTACAGTACTGTCACTTAAGGGATAAAACATAGGAGAGGAGGGGAGATTTATTTATAACAAAGCAAGACATTTCACAAACTTTCTAACACGCTAAAGCCAATCTGAAATGATACTTTTAAATGGATAAAATGTAATTTTTCATATTCTTATTAGTGCTAATGCAATGAATTGGGGGGCGGGGGCCAAAACAAAACAACACACAATTACAAGAGTTTTCACAGGTTCAGATATGTCGTCAATCACATCACTTGCCCCAGCACCAAAGTGTTCACTCCTCAACCTCAAAACGCCCTGTCTGGGAAATTTCACCAATATGGCTTTTGAGGCTAAAAAGAAACTTGATTATTCCTTTTGTTCTTCTATGCTTCAGACTTCTTTCTATCCTTGTGAACTAAGGTGGAAAGGGCAATATTTTTAAGTCCTAGCAGTTGTACGAATTTTAACAGAAGGCTTAGTTTAACATGGGGGGGCACTTCTACAGAAGTTCTAGACTACACGCTTTCTTGGATGCAGAAAACTGGAGAAAGCAAGCATATAAAAAAGGCAGGTATGTAAAATACAGAAAAGACTATCAACAATCAATAGTATTTTCCATTATTTTAGAGACATATTTTTAACCCAAAGATTATACTTTCCCCCACCAAGATCTTACTCTGGTTCAAGATATATATCAATAGAGACACACAGATTCACAGCAAACTGTAATCTATACTACTATTAATGCTGATTTGATCTCCTATGATATAAATCAGATTAAAATGATACATAGTATCCTAGAGTCCATTATGGCCGGTTCTATCCATCTCATGAAACACTCTCTTGGAGCAGAACCCAGGGCCCTTTAGGCATTTTAAGATCTACTTGTAGTAATAATAGTGAGGTAAAATAAGGAGGAGGAACATGGCATGCACAAATGAAGATTAGTAATTTAAACATTAAGACTCTTACATTCCCAACTTAATTTGAAACATTCTAATACATCCAGAACAAGTGCTGGTTCAAAGGTGAAAAATGTGTTAGTGGCATTCCTGTGTCACACTTGAAAATGAATTAATTTTCTTGGAAATTAGTTAACATTTGATACCTCCTCCTTCATCGGACGGTCTTGTTATCTCACTGCTGCATGAAAAGCTAGGGTAAATCTCAGATGTTTCTGACTTGTCATCTCCCAGACCTGTACCAAAAGTACTGCTGGAATGAGAGCGAGACCGGTGTTGCCTATACTGGTGTGCCTTTTCTAAATTGGAGGGAAAATATTCACAGTTGTGATAAAAAGATTTGAAGGACAGAAAGAAATAAAAGTTACTTAAAGGCTTAAAAGTGACAAAAATAATCCTTTATTAAAAAATGATCCAAAATATTGGCTTTTCTAAGATTCTAGCAACTTATTCTGAAACTTCAGCTAAACTGCATCAAGTCCATAAAAAGTCAAAAAATAATTTAGAACCATTTTGACTGTAGCTGTTAATGAAGAATGATTAACTGGTAGCTTTTCCAGAGGCCTAGGAAAACACTGGCAAACTAATAAATTTCTATCAAACATCAAGTGTGACTATAATTTCTTGAAAGTATCACCACATACATAACGGTTGTTGCTTTATCTTTATTTTTAAAATAAACTGTCAGTGGACCAAGATTCATTTTATAACAGTATCAGCATTCTTCCACCATCCTTTCCTCTGGGCTTTCAATTTGATTATTGTCAACAATTAAATCAGGGTGGAATAAGACTTCCACAATATAGCTATCTAAATTGCTTAAAATAACTACATAACTGTCAAAGCTTTAGTTTCCTAAATATGATCTGAAAGCCTGAAGTACCAGCCAATGCAGTAACAATCTGAAAACATCCAATCAGTTCACATTTTGCCTCTAATTAGAAATATTCAGTCTAAATTAAAAGTCAAATTACCTCTGTTGTTGTTGATTGCCATTGAGTAGTGCGCAACTCATAGCAGCCCTATGAACAAAAGGCCTGAAGCCTTGCTATAACTATCATCATTTATCAAAGTTCATAGAGTTTCCAGAAGCATATTGCTCAGGAAGTGGATGCCACTCTTGCTTCCTAAAAAATTGCCTTTATAAGCTATTTTATTATGTTATGTAAAAACTCAATGATAAATATTTAAAATGCTCTACATTCTATTTGAAAACTGATGATATATGTGGAAAATATCTTTCCTAATCTATAATAGAGTAGGATAATCTACAGAATTAAAAAAAATAATAAATACTATATAATTCTTTAATTCTATTTTTAAAATACACCCACATATTTCATGAAATCAATTTCTTTTCTGTCTCAGCAGCATGGTACAACAAAAATAGCTGCATTTATAAACTTAGAAATTCGACATAATCATATTCACTAATAAAAAAAGCTATAAGTGCTTGACACTTACAAATGAATCTAGGACACACTAATCTGTACTATAATATAAAGTGTTCTTGCAAATTTTCTTTTAGAAATGATTAATGGCACTTTGAAGTAGTCGAAAATTTCTTCTCAACTTTAAAACTGACAGGATGCAGTTAGCATAAAGAATCTGTGTAGTCCACAGCAGCTTGGTTTTCAGGAAAAAAACTGTACAGATGGAAGAAACCCAAAACATAAACAATACCAGAGAGCATATGTAGACTTCTAGACTGAATATTGTCTTCCAGGGGATCAATGTCGAAGATGGAACCAGGATCTGTGCGCCAAATTTTGAGGTCTTTGACCAAAAGAAGAAAATCAACAAATCAAAACCAATTTTTTTTTAAAAGGTCAGCACCAAAGAGAAACAAGAAGACATCTGGAAAGTGACAAAATAAAAAGGAACCAGATAATACGCAAACCCTGTGCGGCAGAGTACAGAGAAATAAAAGGACATTCACTCTCACCAGTTAAGAAACATCATCTTTCCATTTCAGCCAGGTGGTTTAGTCTTCATTGACCTTTTACTTCAAGCCTTAACTGAAAAGCCTGGGACTTCCTCATGAGGCATATGGGGCAACTATGTGTGACTGCCAAAGCACTCTCTCAGCCTCAAATCACTCTGGTTTTCTATTCACTGAAAGAGTTACAATGCCTGACTGAAATACCTGACTAAGGGTTTCTGAGTAATGCACAGGCTCGATCGAGAAAATCTTACCAGAGTGAACAAAATAAATGTTTTGTTTGTCTCCTGAAATAGAAACAAATGCTTGAGAAGTAACCCAGTGGCAAGCCCAGTTTTCATTCTAATAGTTACAATTTCAAGGGCATTTGAATCCATCTAAAATATATTTCTTGGTAAAGGACTGTAAACAAGGTACTGGACAACAAAAGGACAAAGAATGGGAAGATGAGTAGGAGCAGCCTCCTGTTCTCAGTGAAGCACAGATTGGTTCACTGATACTATGACCAATGACGAGACTGCAAACAAATCCATTCTGCTCCTGTTTTAGTTGAAGGCGAAATCTGAATCTAATGACTGCTGCATTTACTATTCTCTCTAGTAACGTCTCTCTTATAATGATTATAAGAGCCTAAAATCATCTGTGGACTGCTGTACCAACAACTAAAAATAAGAACCAAGTAATGGGTACATGACAGAAACTGACAAGGTGAAAACCAAATCATCGTAATGTGAAACTAGATATGTACTTGCTTGCTTTTTAATTGCTAAATATAGAGTGTACCATATGACACAAATCATATGTAATTTAACATAAATCATCTAATCATCATAAGGTATTAAAGCTGACACTACTATTATCCCATTGTATAGATACAGAAATAAAGGCACACAATAATTATGTAACATGCCCAAAGTTATATACAACTAATAAATAGTGGGGCCTTCAATAACAATAAAAAGATAACAATAAAAGATAACAAAATTAGCATGACCAACATTACTTATGAAAGTTTCTAAACCTGCATGTCCATGCCTGGTTGAAACCTTGGTTCATTAAAAGGTTAATTTTGTTGTTTGATAGTCAAACAAAATCCTAGATCCTCAATGGAAAGCACTTTTTGCCAACAAAAAGAAATAAAGGTTCTTCAGGATTTCCTTCAAAGTGGAAAATTTACTACAGATCGTGTGTGTAAAAAAAACAATCTTTAAAGATTATGTGCACTGATTTCTGAAAGCCTAAAATTTAATAATCAATCTCAGTGTGTCTAGTTAGGAATCTCATTGTCACTGCTAACGCCTTGTGTAGGGTGAGGACCCAAAGGCAAGCTGGGCAAACTCTTACGGTTCCATAAGGCCTTAATACAGAGCAATTTGTGTTATATTTAATGAAACCTTCACAACTCATCCACTCAACTTAATGGTCCTTTCAAACAATCAACTTGGGAAGTTCAGCAAAGTATTGATTGTTGACAAATGTATCTGGAATTCCACTTTGGAAAATACTTTTGGAATCATTATAGGAATCACTCAAACAATGTGTACTTTCCTTAGTCAACTGACCTCTATTACACTATTCTTCAAAGAACCAAATTTTTATCTTTCAGGATAAATGTAAGATAACACTGAAATTATTAAAAAGCATGAATCATAGCTACCAAAAATATTCTTACTTGAACTAGCTGCAAAATTTCAGCAGTTAAATGCTCTGAAGAAGACAATAGTCACTTGGAAGCGTGAATTACTGAATACACAATACATAACCAATACTTTTTCTTTAGATCCCTTTTTTAATCTTCTTTTAAAATTTAGGAAGGTCCTTATTGATAGCCTAACCATCATTCAACACCATTTTCCTCAGGTTCCTGGTAACTAATGACTTGGAATTACAGGCAGCAGGAAGAGGGGACTGTTCTCCAAGTCATGGAATGTTCACATAGCTCTGACATTCCACTTCAGAAATAACAATAAAGAAAAAATCAGCATAACATATTGTAGCAGATCATCAGAATCTCTCAGCTGAGTCTATATGAGATAAATAAACCTAAAGATAATGCAGTTATTTCTGTCACCCATGTATGTGATGTCTACAGTACAACCATATCAATCAATCAATCAATCAAAGGAACAAAAGGAAAACAAAATAATCTCTCAGCCAGAGCTATCACCCATGTTTGATTGGTAGGCTGGTTGTTTTGTTTAAAAAGTGAAAACATCCACGAGACCTGAAAAATCTGAATGAAAATAATACAATAGTACAATAATAGACTATGCCACGCTGTGTGGTGAATGCCATGGACCCTTGTTCAACACGTAATCAACAACTGCATAGTAATGGTGGTCCATTTAAATGAGGTAACACAGTACACATTGATGAGGGGTCAAATAAATAAGGATTCTAATTGTAAAGCAAGGGCAAACCTTCCTGATGACGCATCAGTCCCCAGGAGGGCAGTCAGCTTACCAACGATGATGCCAGGTCTCCTATCCATCTCCACAATGTGAGGGTGGATGCCTTTGTAGGCAGCGTCACTGACCACCTGGGTGTTCTTCCGTACTCGCTCGGTCACAGGGTCATCCACAACAGGAGTAAAGCCTCTTCCTTTTGTCTTTTCAAAATCCTCATGATACTTTACCTGGAAAAAGAAGAACAACGTTAACTCAAACTGAAATTTCCCACTTGTTTTCATGTTCTGAAATAAGATTAGAGTGATGGATGCTAACTCCATAGCAATCACATTTAGAAGAAAATAAAGGTGGGTTGTATTAGCTGCATGGAGATTATGTGCATCTTTTCCAGTTGTTCCAAATGTAATGTCAGCAACTTCTGCCTCCTTGAAACAGAAATAAAGTGCTGGTATTCTCACATTATTAATCATGATGAGAAGTTTTATAATTTCTAAGACAGAAACAGTCTCTTTTAAGTTACATAGCAATCTGCAAATCAGTCACAAGCTTTAAAAGAGAGTTTTTCAATGCCAGTACTTCATAAAATATATTCATTTTCTATTTCTTATCCTTAAGCATACAATTAGATGATAAACTACTATATATTATTATTACTAGAAAGTGTTACTTATAACTCTCTTAAGTGGGTCACAAAAAAAGTGGGTCTTAAAAAAAGAGTCACTTATCAAATATACTTCAAAACACATTTTCCATGCTCTGAAACTTAAGGGCGACAGCTGTTCAACACAATCATCAAACTAAAAACCACTGAATTCTATACTTTAAATGGGTGAAGTTTACAGTAGGAAAATCTTATCTCAATAATGTTAAAAATATATTTTTCATATTCTTTGCAACATGCAAACACACAAAACTCAATCTAAATATTAATTGGGAAGAAGTCAGGCAAATGTTTTCCATTAAATATATTCACAGTGGTAATGTTAGAAACAAAAACACGAAGAGTCACTGAAGAAAAAGTATTTTATTAGACTCATAATTTTCACACAATTCAGTCTGATTAGGAAGTCCTGACCATCTCCATGTTTTGTTAGTCATTCAAATCAACAGTGTGGTTCTGTCCATGCCATTCCATAGGATGCTTTAGCCATGAAACCCAGCTGCATGGACCCTACCATTGAAATATGGTTTTGTGCTTCTCTAACATGCCTCAGACCAGGCGTATCGATAACAAGACTTGGTCTACCTTTCATCTGCTTTTGGTCCTGGGTGTATTTTACCTGTAAAAATAAATGGAACACAGAACATCTTTATAACAAGAAAGCTATATGAAATATACAACTTTAAGATTTGCAAAAAGGGTAAGGGGCATTGTGGAACATATGCAACATATTTTAAATTGTGGACTAACTAGTATGCTTGGTGAGTCAGTTTGTTCTAGAATTTTAAAAATCAATGAAATTAACTGGGGAGGAGGGTTGGGCTGGGAGAAAAATGCAACAGTGAATGTATGGAAATCCAAAATTTCAGTAAACATTCATGAAAATGAATTTAAAAAAGAAATACAAATATTTTTTTTTAAAAAAAAAAAGAAACACCATTACCTTCTACTTGATTTTTGACTCATGGCAATCTCATGTATGTCAGTGGAGGGCTGTCCTCCACAGGGTTTTCAATGGCTGATTTTTCAAAACTAAGTTGCCAGGCCTTTCTTCCAAGGCAGATCTAGGTAGATTTGAACTTCCAACCTTTTACAATTCATAAACAAGGTACTGACTACTTGAGGCACTCAAGGATTCCTTGTTCTATAACATGAACCCAAAATTTACTGTCAAGGATCACCTTTAAAAGATACAGCAAAAAATGATCCAAATCTCTCCTACAGCTGGAAACATACATGCCAGTGAATAATACTTACCAACATGGCAATCAGTAAAACTGATTTTCATATTTAAATCAAGTAGAGAAAAATCTAAAGCTAAATGGAATCTAAATTTATTTTTCTTTATTGGCTTTTCTCCTCCATAACAGCTGAGAATGCTTTCCAAGCTTTCCTCTAATTCCTTACCATTTAAGGGTAAGAAATAATGAGTAAATTTAGTGGTTTCTTCCAAGTAGCCACAGTTTAAAGGTCAGTTATGCTGTTGACTGCACTCAGCATCTCCCAACATAAGGACCCCTGTTGTCGGTGCCACTGAGTCAATAACTAAACATATCTAAACCTTCCCCCTATCCTGCTCTATTCTCTGACAGCTGATATGCTCAAACTCATTGTTACAGTTCCTCTAGAAAGCCGATCTCCAGGCAGACAGCCTCAGTGCTGACCCTCTGAAATAAAGATCTTCATGGTTTGCTAGAAGGACTGCTAGTAATCTTGACAACTGATCATTGACGCTGTTGTTGTTATGTGACTTAGTGACCCTACACACAATAACTCCGAACCCTGCTCTGTTAAGATACAATGAACATAGATGAGTATAGAGGACATTAAGCTGAGTGAAGTCAGTCAGTTACAAAAGGATAAATATATAAAACCACTGTTATAAAAACTAGAGAAAGAGTTATATTTGGAGAGAATGAATCAAGTACAGTAGGATAGGGAGTAGAAAATTATTCGATAGACAATGAACACTATAGAGGAATGGATGAAGGGAAAATAAGAACTGGCCATGTGCCATTATGTGTATTAAAAGTAATGTTGAAAAAGAAGCAACTCATGATATTATTCAAAATGGGTGACCCTGAGGGACATTATGCTGAGTGAAATATCTCAGTCACAAAAGGACAAATACTGCATAGTGCCACTGTTGTAAAACAGGACTGACATAAGGGTGGGGGAGAGACTGAGAAAGATGGGATAAATTATGTATACTGCATTGAAACAGATGAGGGAGAGAACTGTTTACAAGGGATATACGATTAGTTATTATTGTCATGACAGGAGTCTAGAATGAAGGCTGCACAGTGCAATGGACTGGGGGGGAGGGACTGCATAGAAATGAGTTTTTCTTTTATTTATCAAGGAGGAAAGTTAACTGCGGGGGAGGGGGAGGACAGGGAGAAAAGTGCAACAATTAATGTCTGGAAACCCTAAGTCTCTGTAAACATTCATTAAAATTCATTTTTTTAATTAATAATAATAATAAATAATGTACAAAATAAGCATGAATTCTTGGGAAAAAAAACCTCGACTGTAAACTTTTGCCATAATCACAATAAAAGGATGGAGAAGAGGAAAGAAAAACAAACTATAGTATTTTCATGAAGCTGATTAGGTATGGTGGTATTCCACAGTAAACTGTACCAGGAGGAGATTATCTTTTTCCTGTAGAGTAGTTGGAAGGTCACCACATAGTTCTGCATTAGCAGCACAATTCCTCACCACTAACCCACCAGAACTTCCTAATTAAAAGATTAGGATGCCAATTATAGTAGTTCTGAGGACATACACACACCTGATATTCACTAAGAAAAATAATACCATCAAAATAGGACATTGATACCATGGGACTCTAATAATTATTGTGTATTAAATGCCTTAAAGAGTCTTTCATAAAAAGAACAGATCTTCTCTAAGTTCTTACTTTGAAGATCTTTATTTGTAAATATTACCTAATTTCTTATTTCATTTCACAGAAAGCCAAACACTTAAGCACTAGACTGATAACTACAGTGTTAGAAGTTCAAATCCATACAAATGGCTCACCTAGAGAAAAAATTAGAGATCCAGAAAGGATTTCCAGAAAGGTTACAGCCAAAAAACCCTTTGGGGCAGAGTTTAACTCCATCAAATGGGACTGCTACCAGTCAGTGTCAACAAGGTAACACCGCCACTAAAAACAACAACAGCCACAGCAGCAAAATGACAAATTTTAAATTTAAGCATTAGAAATGTGCAATTTTTAAAGAAAATGAGCAAATTAACACTGTGTTTAAATTATCGTTATATAAATTTAAAGACAATTTTAACTATTGGAGTAATGGAGGTGGGTGAGTTGGAGATAGTGAGGCTGGTACAAGACAGAGCAGGGTTTAGGGCAGTTATACATAGGGTTGCTATGAATTGCAGGCAACTTGATGGCAACAACCCCCACCTCTGAAAACAGCAAGATAGGATCTCCAGATAATAGAAATCAAAACCGTGGGAAGTTATTGGACATAATCTAAAATGACACATTAAAAAAAATGTCTTGAAAAGAAATTTTACTTGTAGAAAAAAAAAGATAGAGTGCAAGTAAATAAATAATAAGGATCATATTAATTATGATAGTAAAAAGTGTTCAGCTTTTATTTTTAAGCTTCAAAAAGCTTAAAAAGTAGATAGAAACAAATGATAGATGGATAGATAGATGATAGATAGATAGATAGATAGATATAGACAGACAGACATAGGTAAGTACATAGGTAGAAAGGTAGGTAGGAGGGAAAAAGAAAAGAAAAAGAGAGAGAGATTGATTAAAATTACTTGCCGAGCTAATATTTTCTTGATTCTTCTTTACTCTTTCCATTTCAGGAGTTACACTTAAAGCAGTGGCTTTGCTCAGCTGACCTCTATAAGAAATCTATCATTTCAGAAAATAAAACACAAAATACTATGTATAAATTAAATAATAATTGCATAGCATCTGTTTTAAATCAAGGAAGGGAAATCAAGAAAGTGAACCAAGGAGACGTGGGAAGGAAACTCATCTGAGGTCTCGGTCTTAAAAATGACTGTGTCTTAAATCAATCCATATAAATTCATTTATTAGAATTACGTATCTCAATTACTGTGAATGTACTCAAATACATGAATACACCATAAATAAAGCTATTTATTGTCCAGTTGTCTTTGAGTTAATTCTGAGTGTTTCAAAGTAGAACTGCACATGGGTTCTTTTTAACAGCTGTGAAGTTTTGGAGGCAGGCCACCAGGCACATTTTCTGATACATCTCTGGGTAGATTCCAGCTGCCAGTCTTTCAGTGATTAATCATTTTTGCTACCCAGGGACTCTTAATAAAACTTAGATAATCATAAACCACAAAGTGCTATCTTTAGAAATAATTTTGATAGGAAACTTCTTAATGGATGTTTTTATATGAAATAACACCTGCCCAATTAGAATGTTACTGTTCTGTGGTAGTTTTGAATAATTAAATATGGCAGAACTTTTGTTAAGTGTGCAGGTAAGTAGTTAAATCATAGCCATGCAAAAATTGAAATAAAAAGGAGCTTCCTAGTACTCCTTTCCCACTCACCATATTCTTTTTAATGATAATGAAGTAATGTCAAGTATGACTATAATTACATAAAGATGGATACCTCCATTTCCAAAATACAGTTGACAGGAAAAATACAAAACCAATAATCTGCTTCTGTTTCATAATCTGTTCAAATGACTTAAAAAGTTTAACAAAAGATTTCTTTCAACTTAATAGATTTCCAAATTTCCTCTTCCAAATAACCCAATCTAAACGTTAATGACTTCCTTCTCACAATGACCTATAGCCATGGATTACACAAACAGGGAAAGTGGAGCAGGCCAGGGATTGGGGGCTACATAAAACCAGCCAGCCCCTTATCAAGTTCTCTTATCAAGCTCTCTCAGAATGGATTTGTTCCTTGTGATTTACTCAGTCACACATACTTTATAATTCCCCTTGGGCATCATCTGAAAATGCAATAAGAACAGCCAGGAGTGAAAGAATGGAGGTGAGAGGACACTAAAGCCCAAGAACAAATACAGGCAGGAAAAAGTGGAAAAGCTTAATTGCAACACTGAGAGGGTCGATGCCACCACTGTCTCCCTTTGGTGAATGGAACCACTGGAACTCTAACCAGTAAGACAACATCTAGAAAGCAAGCAGGTGTTCAACTTAGAACTCTGAAATGAGGATCAGCTGACTGTATATACCTAAAGTCTCCTGAACTTTTCAAATAATCACTCAGTTGAGAGTAGAATATCAATACAAGGTTATGAAAAGGTTATAAATGCATGCTGAGTGGTTTGATATAAGAAAACAAGTTACTGAGAAGGTCACACATTGCTGATATTCTTCTGGTTTTCTTTCACTCTCTTAAGCTCTGGTGGGTCAGAAATTGTGGTTGCTTGTTTAATCTCTCCTTTATATTTAACCTACGAAGGAGAATTAAGAATTTTAATAGAAAGCAGAATGAGCCCAACTTACACATCTTAGATATCATATCTTTCACACATTAACTGTACCTGAGTGGAGATTTACAAATCATATTGGTTTCTACACAATCACTCTGAAACATTTTGTTTTATAATATAATTTGCCATTGATTAATATAACTCATTTCAGTGTCTAATCAACCCCTTTTTGTGTATTGCCTTTCCCTTCACCCAACTATTTATTCATTTTAACACCCCTCACACATTATTTTTCCCCACAGTACATATGAGTCAAGGAGGTGGGCACATTGCTCTACAGTATCTACACCTGGATTTCAAATCATCCAATTTAACAAGCTTCTTAAGAATGAGTTTCAAAAAATATCTTCGCTGTTCAATCTTCAGAGTCCATTAGTAAAATTAATGGAAATATAAGGAAGTTCAGTGTCACAGAAACCCCAGAGTAAAGTCTTTAAAGAGAAAAGCAGTGACATAAATATGGCCTTGTCGGGGGTCATTTGCTTTCCATTTTACCCTACCTTTCAGAAGAAGCAAGAATCCCGGAGTCCTACCACCTTCCAGAAATATTACAAAGACTAAGCAGAAGTGAGCCTGAATTTCTCCTTTACCATAAGAACTCAGTCTTAAATTGTCAACTCTTTTAAAACTAGTTGGTTTTAAAAAAAAATTGTTTATATTGGAAAAATTTCCACAAAATGGTCACACACCACAAACAACCCACAACTTTCTGAAGACACCTTTGCGAAAGATTCCTGAATTTCAGGACGCCTAAGTTCAAATCCTGACTCTGTTCTTACCAGACATCGTCCCAAGACATGTCCCATAACTGCCACAACTCTTAATTTCCCACATGCAAAAACCTGAAAAGTGAAAAATGCTGATCTCATGTTTCATTCACTGCCAGGTCCAGCACACAAAATCACCAGGGGCTAGTATGTCAAGTCTGCCTCACAACGACAACAAATCTGTAGCAGTAGAACTGTGCTCTCTTTCAATGACTGATTTTTTGGAAATAGACCCCCAAAATATTTCTTAGTGGACTTACAACTTTAACCTCTTTGTAGCAGTCAAGAACACTATTACCCAAAGACTCTCCATTTAGTGGTGGTGCTGTTAGGTGCTACTGAGCTGAGTACAACTGATAGCAACTCTATGAACAACAGACATGAACTCTGTCATATCCTGTTCCAACTTCACAATCTCTGACAGACCTGAGTGCATTGTTGCAGTTAGTGTATCAATCCACCTAGTTGAGGGTCTTCCTGTCACTCGCCATCCCATCACCTTTCCAAGCATGATTTCTTTCTCCAAGGAATAGCAAAATGCCCAAAGCATAAAGGCAAAACTTCACCACCCTTGTCTCCAAGGAGCACTCTTTTCCAAGACATATCTGTTTGTTCTTTTAGCAGTCCATGGGATATTGAGTACTCCAACATCAAAGACATCAAATTTTCTTCTTTTCTCCTTATTCACTGGAGCTCTTGTAGCTTAGCAGCAAGAAGCTGTGCTGCTATCTCAAAAGGAGGTACAATCTGCTCCATGATGGATAAACAATCTCCTTCCATGTGATTAACTGCCTCTGAAAACCCGCTAGAGTGTCAGCTGTGGGTCGGTTTTGATTCTGCAGTACACAACAATGACAATTTCCTATTCATTGTCTAGCTCTCAGCAGCACTGTAAGTGATTTAAAAGACCATGGTCTGAATCAAGTGCTCCTTCATCCTCCAACTATTATCATTGCTCCTCAATAATTTGGAGAGGTCCCCAACTGCAAACTGTCCCCGTGCAGTACGTCTCCTGATTTCCTGACTGCCGGTACCAAGGGAACTGATTGTGGATCCAATTAAGAGGAAGTTGTTGACAGTTCCAATGTCTTCTCCATCTATTATGATGTAATCCATCAGTTCAATGATGAGAATATTTGTTTTCCTGACATTGAGTTGCAATCCACACTGCAGGCTGTAGTGTTTGATCTTTTGCATACAGTTTAGGTACCACATAACTGAACCATACAATGCAGGTATCTCATAATTGTTACCTACTATTGCATTTATTAGCAATATGTTATAGAAGTGTAAATCCTTTCCATTTTGTGTCCTACTCTGACATTGTCTCATATGAGCCAGTAATACAAGGCATTCTCTTGTCCTGTTTAACACAGAGATTTTTCTGTAGTTGGACAAATCTAGTCAGAATGATAACAGAGCCTCTATACTTCAGAGTCTCACTTGGATGTACTTGCTAATTTAATGGTAAGATTCCTGAAGGCAGGAACTATGCTCTACTTTCATTGACCATGATCCAAAATTATGTCTGGCATGTGCAGGATGTGTAGAAAGCTTCTCTGATTAAATAAATATTACTATTTACAGCAACACAGTCTAATGACATTTTCTGGGTGAGAAGGCTTTACAGCTCATGTCTCTTGGGATATGACCATGAAAAGTTGCACCCGCACACACACAAAGAGGACTGACAGCTTTTCAGGGAGTGTTTGAAGGAATAAATATGCCTAATGTTTGATAACATTAAAGAAAACAGAACTTGCCGGACTCAGTTGCTCCTGGTTCTTCCGCACCCTCTCAATCTCTGGTGTCATGCTTACTGGAGTAGCCTTGTAGGGCTGCTCTTTATACTGAAGCTGTAAGACAAGGTACAAGAGCACTTGGGATTAAGGAAAATAAGTGTACATAATACACTAGAAAAAATGGAAAGAAATATCACAGGCTGGGCATATCACATGTATTTTCATTAAGATGTTGTTCTTGTTATGTGCTGCTGAGTCACTTGGAACTCATAATGACCCCATGTACAATGGTCCTGAAACCTGCTCTATCCTGTGCCAACCTTACTGTCTCCAACACACCAACCCTCATTATGCCAGTCACTGAATCAATCCATCTCATGGAGGGTCTTCCTCTCTTTTGCTGTTCCTCCACCCTTCCAAGCAGGAGGTCCCTCTCCAAGAACTGGTCCCTCCTTGCAACATGCCCGAAGTATGTCAGATGAAGCCTCAGAATCCTTGCCTCCAAGGTGCAGCCTGGTTTCACCCACTCCAGAACTAACCTATTTGTTCTCTTGGCAGTCCACGGTATTTTCAATACTCTTCTCCAGCACCATACCTCAAAGGCATCAATTATCTTTCTTTCTTCCCTAGTCATTATCCAGATTTCTGATGTATAGCAAGTAATTGCAAAGACCATGGCTTGTATCAGGCACACCTCAGTCTCTAGACTGACATCATTGCTCTTCAGTACTCTGGAGAGGTCCCTGACAGCAGACTATTCAAAGCAATTCGTGTTTTGATTTCCTGGCCGCTAGTACCAAGAGTGCCGACTGTGGAGCCAAACCAACTAAAGCTGTTAATAGTTTCAGTTTCTTCACAATCTGTCATAATGCTGCCAATCAGCCCAGTGGTGAGAATCTTGGTTTTCTTGATTTTGAGCTTTAATCCAAATTGAAGAGAACACAGCAAAAACAGGGACAGTTAATACATTTACTGTCAATGTGCTCAGCTTCTAAGCTTTTTTTTTTTTTTTTTCTTACAGGTTTTAAATTACAGCGAGTAAGGAACTGTATTGTTAATGCAAAGGCAGGTGGTTCAAATTCACCAGCTGCTTCCTTCAAAAAAAGATGAGTAATCTCCTCCCAGGTTATTTACAGTCTCTGAAGATACACTGGAAAGTCAGATGTAAGTTAGTCCCGACTTGATGACAACTCACTGCAATTTTTTTCAGTCTTCCAATTATATTAGTCTTCCAATTGTATTATTTATCAGTGACTTCCTTGAGTTGAATTTCATCATTAATAGTAAATCCTCCCTTCAGTGAATTCACCTCCTCACAAAACTAAAGCAACATTCTTCAAATTTACTATTTTGTATTTAAAAATAGACATTCTGTACTAACTGATTGTAAAAGAGGACCTCACAAACTCAGGACCTGCACATACATCTTCATAGACAGTTACTACACAAACAAACCATGAACCTCGAAACTCCCTTCTTTACACATTTACCACACTGGATGACCTACTGTGTGACCTGGCATTATGGAAATGTTCATGACCTACCACAGGCAGGAGTCTGCTTTAAGATGGGTAGACGGAACTCTATCTAATCTGTGGTGTACAAACTCACAATATCCCAGGAAATAAATGAGCATTTAACCCAAAGAAGCAGAATGCTGTGCCAGTGGAATGAATTTTTGGAAGGTTAAAGTACAGCTATAGGTTAAAATCTCATTATAAGAAAAAATACTGGGAAAGTCTTGAATTTTTTTTTTCCAATTTAAGTTTAGCATTAGCAAAAGTTATGGGATTTTTTTTTCCAAAGAACTCACAGGCCTAAAGGTCCAACAGATAGAACACAACTGAGACTCACACTCGCAGAAGTTAACATGCAAGTGAAGTCTGGAAAATAAACAAACAAAACAAAAAAAGGCAGGCCAGGGTGACCTCTTTCCTCAGTGTTGACTCTGTGTCATGATATGCAATATGGAAGCTTGGACAGATTTTTGTGACATGAATGATTGAGTGAATGTAGAGTTTCACTGTAATCTCTCTTATTGATGCCATAACAAAGAAAAAAATGTAGCTCTTGATAGAGAGAAATATCTACTGAATATATGTATATGCGGAAAAATAATCATAGCCAATCTCTTCCCACCTCTAAATGTCATCAAGTCAGTTCCGAGGCATAGCAATCCTCCATTGGTTTCTGAGGCTATAAATCTTACTGGAAGAAATGGTCTACTTCTCTCCCAAGGAGTGGCTAGTGGATTTCAATCCTGGGAGATGGGCTGCATTTTGGCTAGCAGTGCACCACTGTATGAGCTATACCACCTGACCTCCAGTAAAGGATGTAAATTTGTGGACATCATAAACACACTAATTGCTTTGTTTTATATACACTATCTCAATTAATAATATCTTTGTATCAGTAATGGGAGTCATGAGAGTCTTGAAGTTAGGAGTAGAGGTGATAGACCTGGTCCAAAAAATACTGATTGGGGATAGGATTAAACCAACAATCAAACATCAGCTGCCACGTTCTTGTCTACTACCACAGTGTTTCCAAATTTCCACCATACACACATCACTCTACCTATATACTCTCTACTCAGATATACTGTTAATCATAGTGGCAAATTCTTCATTAAGTCAGCACATGCTTATATTCAAATAAGTTTTTGTTGTTATTGGGTGACATCAAGATAACTATGACTCATAGTGACTCTGTGAACGATGGATCTGAACCTTGCCCTCTCCTGTGCTATCCTTATCAACTGTGGTATGCTCAAGTCCATTGTAACAGTCACTATGTCAATCTATTTTATTTTCACCTTGGCTACCATGATGAAAAAAGACCTCTCCTTACAACATGTACAAAGTATGTGAGTTGAAGTTTCACCATCCTAGTCACTCAGGAGCACCCTGGTTGTACTTCCTCCAAGACTGACTTGTGTGTTCTTTTGGCAGTCCGTGGGGTATTCAGTACTCTTCTCCAGAACCACAAATCAAAGGCATTAATTTTTCTTCTATTATCTTGACTCATTGTTCAACTTTCAGAAGCACAGAAAGCAACTGAAAAAAACCATGTAATGGGTCAGGTGCATCTTAGGCTTTAAAATGACATTTTTACTCTTTAACACTTTGAAAAAGTCCCTGATGGCAGATTTACCTAATGTAACCGATCTTGTTTTCTTGACTTCTATTACCACGCATGTTGATTGTAGACCCAAGTAAATTTAAATTGCTGATAATGTCAGTCTTTCCTCCATCTATTATGATGTTGCCTATTTGTCTAATGGTGAGTTTTGTTTTCTTGACGCTGAAATGGAATCTGTAGTCTTTGATCTTCTGTAGCAAGTGCTCAATCTTTTTTACGTCCTACAAACAATGTTGTGTCATCTGACTGACACAGGTGGTTCAGCAACTTTACTCCAATTCTGATGCCACATTCTCTTTCACACTGTTTAGCTTCTCAAATGGTTTGCTGAGCATCAGATGAATAGGTATAGTGAAAGCATACAATACTGACACACGTATTTTCTAACTCTAAACCATGCAGTGTTCCTTGCCTTGCAGGATCTCATCTTGTTTTATACATTAATTTCACATGAGCACAATTAAGTAAGTTGGGATTCTCATCCTTCTCAATGTTATTCACAATTTATTGTGATCCACACAGTCAAATTCTTTTGTTTAATCAACAGAAAACAAGTAAGCATCTTTATGGTTTCTCTTTTAGCCAAGATACATTTGACATCAGCAGTAATACCTTTCATACCAGTCTCTTCTAAATCCAAGTTGAATTTCTAGCATTCCCTGGTGATGTACTGTTCCAGATATTGTTATATACTCTTCAGCAATGTATTATTTACATGTAAATGAATGATACTATTTGATAACTTACACATTCAGTTGGATCACCAGGTTTTTTTGGGGGGGAGTAGGAATAAATATGGATCTCTTCCAATCAGTTGGCCAGTCAAACTTAAGTTGATCAGTCAAAACTTAAGTACATTAAGTTTTGTTTTGTTTTCATTTGAATGACATTATCACTTAAAACAATAAATTGTTGTTGTAGGTAGATGCCACTGAGATGACTCCAACACAAAGCTTCCCTACATACAGCAAATCAAAATCTTGCCTAATCCTGCACCATCCTCACAATCTCTGCTTTGCTTAAGTCCATTATTGTAGTCAATGTGTCACTCCATCTCCCTGAGTGTTGTCTAGAGAGTGGATGGGACATGAGGTGGTGGCTCAGTTACATCTCCTCACTTCATAAAGGGGAAATGCATCAATATCCATAGCAACAAACAGATATCTGCTTGGTCTGACACAGCACCCACCAATATTCCTGCACCTATTTCCATAAATCACTGGATCCAATATTCACTGTTGACTCACAAACTTTGCTCACAGCTGTGGTACCAAGAGTGGGGCTTATTATGGAAATAGTTTGGAGAGTTGGGGAGACAAAGAACATCCCCCAACGGTACTCCAGGAGTCTCAAATACAATCAATAAGGCACAATTTCTCAGTCAGTAAAAGTCTCGGTTCAGTTCAGTAGCACAAATCCAAACCATCCAGCAAGGTTTGCCTCAGACCAGTTGTAGGTCAGTTTTTCCTTCAATCATGCAGAAAGCAAAATATACCGCCACAGTCTCTCCACAATTTCTCCACTACCATCATTGCTGGGGTCTCTCTCAAGTCTTGCTGTTCTGCATGGGAATCACTGTCTCTTATTCTAGTCCTACAGCTGTGGATGATTTTAAAAATCATGTGTCTTCAGTTTAGGTTGCTAGAGACCAGAGTGGGCTAATGTAATGGCTAAAAAAAAGCCAACTTTTAAGCTAACACCACTAGGGTCTATCTTATTTCACTGACACTCAACATTTCCAAGCATGATATTCTTCAACAAGGACTGGTACCTAAGTCTCACAATCTGTGCTTCTAAAAAACTATTTATTATTACTAGTTGTATTTCTGCTGGAGGCAAAAACAATATCCACAGTCCTAAAAAATAAGTGTAACTAACTCATTTTTTAATTCCAAGAACTCAGATAAAGTATGCAATAAAATGTTCCTTTAGTAAACAAATGCATATGTGGTACTGGGCAAGGTATAATGGAGGATATACAAGTCTGTAATATGTAATCACCTTCTTTAAAGAACTGATCCTCAGGTAATGCTAGTCATGATTGTGGGATGCTATTTAAACTCAAGTATCATTCCTTTCTAATATATTATCATCCAATAAAAAAAATAAAATAATACTTAAAGAAGTGTGATCACACATTGCTGATATTCTTTTGGTTTTCTTTCACTCTCTTTAGCTCTGGAGGATCAGAAATGGCTGTAGCATGTTTCACTTCTTCTTTGTATTTCACCTGCATGATTTATGAAAATATGATGTCAGTTTTATCATGAACAAGGCTTAGTAGCTAACTTATATTCTTCATTTATAACTACTGTACAATTGAGTACTGAATACCAAAATTAGTATTCTTCTAATGGAAACGTAAGTTTTTATTCTATCTGATGCTTTCAAGATTTAATACAAAAATAACAAGAAACCCATATATACGTACCTAAAGGAGATTTGTTTTTATTAAAATAAGCACATTTTGCTTATAAAAATATTTTATCATGCAATAGATATAGAAGAAATGCTGGAAATGATCTTAAGTATATAATAACTATATATCCATCCATCATGTTTTTCTAGGTCTGTGTCTCTCCCATTGCTGTCAAGTCAGAATCAACACATACCTGACCCTCTATTGGGTTTTCAAGGCTATAAATCACACAAGAAGAGACTGTGTATCTTTCTTCCGTGGAACCATTGGTGGATTCCAATTGCCAGAAAGACAGAGTCTTTGAGTTAGTAGTGCAACAGCTCCCTTAGGACTATGGACCAGCCCTTCCTAGTTTCTATGCTGTGATATGTTAATTTAAATATGCTGTGTTTTTTAAAGGGAAAGGTCAAATTGTGTTAGCCACAGCATCTTAGGAATGTTCTTTTCTAACAGCATACAAATAATTTTTATAATAAGAGGAATAATCAAGTAATCACAACAAGGGGACCAAAAAAGGGAAATGGAAGAGAATATATTAAAAGCAAACAGCACTGTGTTCTGATCACTTTAAGAGCCAAGGCCAGAAAGTGACAGAGTTTTTCTAGTCGCAAAATCATGTTTTGTAAAGCCCTCTTGGATCCTGGTGTACTTCACTCAAAAAGTTTCCTGCTCCAAATCTAATTACAAGGAGATCAATCAGAAAAATGGAGTAACAGCTACTGCTATGCATGAAACAAGAAAAATCTCCTTAAACTTGTGAAATCATTAATAACATTGATAAATCAGGCGGCATTTTGACATGTTTAAGATCTCTGCACCAAGCAAGACATAGTGACCTACTTCAAAATAAAGATTATAAGCAAGAAAATCTGATGGGGTACTTTTACTCTGTAACACATGGAGCTGCAAAGAATTGGTGCCCACAAAACTTACCAAACCTCTGGAAAACATCCAAAACAGTACTCAGAGGTCAATTTATAGCAATAAGCAAACACATCAAAGGCAGGAAAACATGACCATTGACTATCCCAACACCCCCAACAAATTGAAAAAGAACAGCAAGAAAACCCAACACTGTCTAAAAACAACCTGAAATTATAAAAAATAGAGAAGAAACAATAGAAAAAAAAACCACAGGAAAACAATTGACACCATCAACAAAACTGAGAGTTGGTTCTTCGGAAAGATCAATAAAAACGACAAACTACTAGCACAACTAACAAAGGAAAAGACAAATAATCTGAGTAAGAAGAGGACAATGTCACAAAAGAACCAACTAAAATAAAAAGGTTAACAATGGAATA